CTCCTTATGCCGCTCCCCCTCCCCTCTGCATCAAGCAGCAGGCTTTTCTACGGAGTTGAGTCAGCGAATAAGGCCCGATGCACTAGGCTGTTGCGTGCGTAGTTGCACCTCGCACATATCCCCCCCACCCCCCCCCCCACCCCCCCACCCCCGAGTTCTTCCTTGCAATCTCCCATCCTCCCCACCTGTTCCCCTTGTGTCCCTCTGTCCTCCCCTCTGCAACGAGCAACAGGCTTTTCTGCAGAGTTTCGCCAGCAAGTAATGCCTGGTGGTGTCCGTTGCTGCAGGTTGCAGCAGCCTGTTGGTGGGTGGAGACAGGACAGGACTGGGAGATGGCATGTGTGATACGTGGCTGCAGTGTTCATTGAACAATGCTAGGAGTTTAGAGTGGATACATCTTGGGTCTACATTGATGCACCTGAGAGCACTTTTGGTAGAGCTTTTCTTGTGCCTGGAACAGCAGGTCTGCGGAGAATAAGTTGGACAAGTGGATCGCTGTGTTCCGTGCAGCTCAGGTATTCAATACCGTGTTCGGTTGGTACTAAATACCAAGTGTGGTATCCGAGGGTACCAGTATCATTTCATGTTCGCACTAACGCTTGTCTATACAAAGTGTTCCTAAGCAATTGCTGCCTTGCAGAATGTACAGTACAGGCTTCTGATTAGAATACTCCACAACAAGGTTACGATAACTCCACCACAACAGCGTACCATATGTGCATCATGGGTAGCACAACACACCAGCGGCAAGGGCCTATCTCTTGTAATCCAAGGGGCATGCATGCCAGGCATGTAGTCACTGCCGCAAGGCACCTGTTAGCACTTCTTCAGCCCGCCGCTCTGCCACCTCACAGCAGCACGTGCCTTCAGTATCAAATCTTGTACTACCCTCAATTGCGGTTCCAGCACTGCGGGACAAAGCACGCCACCCACTTGTCTGCTCCCCCCAACGCAGCCCTCCCACCTGCCCCAAAGTCGGGCCCGTTTCCCCTCGGCCACACGAAGGAGGAGGAAGAGGAGGACGAGGAGAGGGAGGGGGAGTGACAGATGGCGGTTCCAGTAGATGCAGGGGGGGAGAGAGGAGGGGAACAAGGGGAGGTGTAGGGATGGGAGCGAGGAGGGGATTGAGGGGGGGAGCGAGGAGGGAGGTAAGGGGAAGAGCAAGGAGGGGACTGGGAAGAGGTCTGGTAAGAGGGGGACTGGTTAGGCTCGGCAGCAGCTACACGTGCCCGCTGTGTGCGAGTGTCTGTCTGCAGTTGCTGCTGCAGCTGGGCTCTCAAGTCAAGCGGAGGCATTCTTCTCAGCTGCCGCAGCGACCTGCTCGGCAGCAGCTGAGGAACCACCTGACCAGGTGCCGCCTGACCAGATGCAACCTGGTTGGGCACTAGCACCTGGGCAGGAACCACCTGGTCAGGTGAATCACTGTCAGGTGAATCACTGTCAGGTGAATCACTGTCAGGTGCCACCTGGCCAGTCATCGAACGTCCATCCGAGGCAGAGCGCTGCAGGTGGTTGGTGCAGGCAGGATTGGTGGGGAGGGTGGTGCTATTGCAGGCGGTATTGGCCTGGTCGGTACAAGGCTGGTAGTGCTGAGGCAGTGAACGTGTGCGATGGGTGAGTGATTGCTGGTAAGGCGACGTGGCTTGCTGGTATGGTGACGTGGCTTGTTGGTATGGTGACGTGGCTTGCTGGTATGGTGACGTGGCTTGCTGGTAAGGTGACGTGGCTGGCTGTTCCTTCTCGTATTCGTCTCTCTCTGGCTGTTGCTGCTCATACACCTGCTGCCGCTGCTGCTGCTGCTGCTGCTGCGCTGCTGCTGCTGCTGCTGCTGCTGCTGCTGCTGCTGCTGCTGCTGCTGCTGCTGCTGCTGCTGCTGCTGCTGCTGCTGCTGCTGCTGCTGCTGCTGCTGCTGCTGCTGCTGCTGCTGCTGCTGCTGCTGCTGCTGCTGCTGCTGCTGCTGCTGCTGCTGCTGCTGCTGCTGCTGAAACCACTCCTGTTGCTGCGCTTGCCCCTGCGCCTGTCCCTGCTCCTGCCCCTGCTCCTGCCCCTGCTCCTCCTGCCCAAGCCACTGCCCCTGCTGTTGCTGCTGCTGCCGCCACAGCTGCCACTGCTGCCGTCGCTCCGCCATGAGGCGGTGCGCCGCCTTGCGCTGCCGCTCGTGGTGCCACTGCTGCTGCCGCCGCCGCTCAACCCGCCGCAATCGCAGTTCGATCAGCCGCTCGCGGTCCGGCTCGCTCCTGTCCACGTACATGCCGTCCACATGCCGCCTGTCCAGCTGACGTCTGTCCGGCTGTTGCCTGTCCGGCTGTTGCCTGTCCGGCTGTTGCCTGTCCGGCTGTTGCCTGTCCGGCTGTTGCCTGTCCGGCTGTTGCCTGTCCGGCTGTTGCCTGTCCGGCTGTTGCCTGTCCGGCTGTTGCCTGTCCTGGTACTGCCTATCTGGGTATTGCTTGTCCCGCCCGTCCTGCGCGTCCCCGCGTGCCCCCCGCCCATACCCGCCGTTGCGCGCCAGACATTGCCCGTCGGATGCTTGTCGCTGCAGGCCCGCGCCTCTCCCCTCCCGCCCTTCCGCCCGCTCCCCGTCCCCCCGCGTTTGCCCGCAGCGGTTATCCGCGAATTGCGGCTCCAGGCTTAAATGCCTCGCCAGATGTGACTGCTGCTGCTGCTGCTGCTGCTGCGGCGGCGGCGGCGGCCGCGGCTGCTCGTACGGGCTCGTCAGGTAAGCCCTGTCCAGTTGCCGCCGGGGTTCCTCCCCGCGCCACCCCCGCGTTTCCCCTCCCGCCGCCCCCCCAGTCCGCGCGCTCACTCCCCATCCGCCCGCGCCGTTCATTTCCCCCCTGCGCCCTTCCCCTTCCGGCGCCGTCTCGTTTTCCCCCATCTCCTCCTCCCACTCCTCTCCCTCCTCCTCCTCCTCCTCCTCCTCCCCCTCTTCCCCAGATTCCCTTTCCGCTTCCCAAGCCTCGTCATCAGCCACGGGTGCTGACGTGGACCGATGAATAAACGATTTCTCCCACCCGCCCGCCTGAACGAATTTCCCGCTGCCGTCTCTGCTGGTTACCAGGTTACCAGCAGGCCCTTTCACGTGTCGCTGATAGGTACTAGGAACGGGATAAGGGCTGTTTGAAACGGCGGAAGAGTAGTTCCCGCTGGGATAGGCGGAAGCCGCAAGGGGGAGGGAGGAGTGGCGCGGAATCGGCGCAGCGCGGCGGGATGCGGCGCCGCTGTTTCCCCGTGCGAGCGGGCCCGCAGGTCCCCGTGGTGGCACCCGCTGCTCATACGCGCAACCGCCGTCGTGCGCAAACGCGCGGTCCAGCTGCTGCGCCTGCGGCTCATATGCGCAGCTGGGCGCAAAGGAACGGTCCGCGGGCTCCGCGGGGGGATGGTTGGGGGGAATATAGAGCGGAACTGCTATCGGGAGGGTCTCAGAGGCGGTGGGCGGGAGAAACATGGGCGGCGACGGTTGTTCTTTAGCGGCGGAGATGCGCACGGGGGCGCCGAGCGAGGGCGTGCGGAAGAGGGGAGACTTGGGTGCGGGGGAAGATCCGGCGGGGGGAACGGAAACGGGCGGCGGAGCTGGGGAGGTGACGGAGTTGTACCGGCGGAGCGGAACGGGGGAAGCGGAAGAGCTTGCGCCATAGGGGCTTCCGCTATGAGGATTCGCACCGTAAGGACTGGCGGAAGCTTCTTGCGCGCAAGTGCGGGGAGGAATGGGCGCGGGGAAGCGCCTAGAGGCGGGATTAAGTGGGGATGGCGGACGCTGAGCGGGGTCCCAAGGGACTTGCCGATTGGTTGATACGGGATAGGCGAGTATAGGCGGTTCGTCGTCCATATGGAGTTTTGTGATTGGACGATCGATGCTGGCGGTAAGTAGCACAAGATTTAAAAGAATACGGAGGAGTACGGAGGAATAAACGGGAATACAAAGGAGTACTGAGGGTTGCGGAGTTGGATGCAGCAGAGCTGGCAGCTCCTACTAGCTCAGGGAGTGGCGGTTGGGTAACTCGGGCTGCTAGATACACTCAGGGATGGATAGGCGTAAGTTGGAGTGGATGAGGTTCGAAAGGAACGTGAGAAGCGGGATGAAGGGACTTGGTGGTGGGTGGTTGGCCCGGCAGAAGCACCCACGTGGTTCGGCAGCCATTCGCAACTGGAAGTGAAACCAACCGTGCAGTACCGAATCAAAACCTTGTCAAAGCTTCTTACAACGACTTGAACCGAGCATATTCGTAAGGCTTTGTGATGTGAGACGTGTGACTAGTGTCCTGGACGAACCGCGGGCTGATGCAGTGCGTTGCGAAAGAATGTTGGTGGCATGCGAAACAGTTCAACGCGGCGATCTTCCATTGGAATCGCCAGCTTGCCCCCAACCCCCCAAGCTCCAAGAAACAGTTCTTCTCGTGTCAAGTCGTGGTCGTAGATTCCCCCATCTGCTGCGATGTGGGGTGCAGGTTGCACACTGGCACGAGCCCACAACTCGTTACACTTTCTTCGTCAAAACTTTCACATTTAGCAAACTGAGCTGTAATTGTCTAGCAAAGACAATCGGCAAAGGTAGCCGGCGATGAATCGCGTTTAGCTATTGTACCTTTTCCCTTCTGAACGTCAGCAAATGCTGCACTATTGTATTGGTCAAAGGTCGGAAACGGAATGCGTTTTCGTCGCATCAAACGGTTACACCTCATCCCACCCACCCCGTCGTCCTTTCAGCTTCCAGAAACGTTGCGCGAATCAGAGCTCAGACTCTTGGCATTTCAACAGTGTCACTAAACCTGAGGCACGAGGGTCTTGAATGAGGGCAGGCCAATGCCAGCTCTGGCGTTTTCCTGCGCGTGAAATCAAGCATTCAATGCAAATCTCGACGAACCTCACGCACGTCCGCTAAGGTGTTGCAACAGAACCAGGCTGTACAGTTTCGTAAAACTGATACATCATCAAGTACATGCTACACTTCAGTCGTAGGGATTTTATAAATACGCAAATTTAACATATAACTATCTGATCTACTACGCTAAACCTGAAACACTCTGGTCATCCTCGTCGTCGTCATTACCTTGATAGACACGGCAAAAGGGCATTCCGAGCGAGGAGAATATGGTGCCGGTAGATCGAGCAATGTCTTTCTTCCGCCTGCCAGAGAGGCTTGATGTGTCGGTCGAAGACGCCGTGCTGTGTGCGGGCGATGGCGGCATATCACAGCCGTTGGCTGCCATCCACGGATGAGCTGCAATGATCCAACGGCAGAAACAGGTGGTACAAAAAAAAGGGGTTGAAATACACCGTACGAGGTAAAGATACCATGAAGTAGCCTGCGTCCACGAAGCCACAAGTCGGAAGCACATGCACTGGCGTTCGGTGTGCAATATGCACCACCTAAGAGCATCCCATGCTCCATGCCCCGACCTTACCCACCCTCCCAAAGACTTCTGACTCGATTTGAACAATCTCTACACCCTCACACAACCAAAATCAGTCTTTCTAAATGTGCTCCCTGAAAGCATTCCCAGCACCAAATGCATGCCCTCATTGGATGCCTTTCGAGTCTGAACCAAACACCAATCCTTACAACCTCACATACTCACCGAGCTACCTGTCAAGAGTCATTCCTTGGTGCAGGTCCGGGCGACAGCATCCGAAGCACGATATTTTTTCCCTTGTGCAACTGCTCAAGGACAACCCGTATGACAACCTACTACACGTACCGAGCAATCTATCGAGGGTGATCCGCTCGTGCGGGTCCGCGGACAGCATCCCCAACACGAGGTCTTTCCCCTCGTCCGAGATCGCCGGCCAGACGCCGCTCTCCATGTCCACATGAGCGCGCTTGATCTGCCGGTACACACCCGCATCCGTGTCGTCCCAAAAAGGCAGCTTCTGGGAGAGCATGGTGTAGAGGATCACCCCCAGGCTCCACACGTCTGCCTCGTGCCCGTATACACTGTCTAGGACCTCCGGCGCCATGTAGAAAGGGGAACCAGCATAGCCTGTCATGCGCTCTCCTGTAAAAACACAGGGTACGGGGCATGGGACACGGGGCATGGTACACGGGGCATGGTACACAGGGCATGGTGCAGGGGGCATGGTACACAGGGCATGGTACAGGGGGCATAGGACACAGGGCATGGTGCAGGGGGCATGGTGCAGGGGGCATAGGACACAGGGCATGGTGTAGAGGATCACCCCCAGGCTCCACCACACGTCCGCCTCGTGCCTGTACACGCTGCCCAGCACGCTGTCTAGGACCTCTGGCGCCATGTAGAATGGTGGTTTTTGAGGCGCCTCAAAAACGACCTCTGGCGCCATGTAGAATGGTGGTTTTTGAGGCGCCTCAAAAACGACCTCTGGCGCCAGGTAGAATGGTGACCCGGCGTAGCAAGTCATCCGTTCTCCTGTGGACGCATTGAGGAGGTGGTGGGCGTGAGGGAGAGTGACTTTTGAGTCGACTCAAAAGTCATGTGGTCTCACTGGCTTCGGGTAAGCTGAACGGAGAACATTGCTGCGGCAGGGGAGAGAATATACCTGTGGCTGCATATACCTGTGGCTGCATATACCTGTGGCTGCATATACCTGTGGCTGCATATACCTGTGGCTGCATATACCTGTGGCTGCATATACCTGTGGCTGCATATACCTGTGGCCGTGGCTATGGATGAGATATGGGTATGGGTATGGACACAGGACAGGACAGCCCCCCACTCACCGGCTTTAAGGTGCACGGAGAATCCAAAGTCAGCCAGGCGCAGGTCCCACCAGCACCCAGGTTGTGCCAGCAGGATGTTCTCGGGCTTTAAGTCGCGGTGCATGATGCCGTGGTTGTGGCACGACCGCAGCGTCTCTGCGAGCACACGCAGGATGATGGCGGCCTCTCGCTCCGAGATGAATGGCGACGAGTTGATGTGGTCCAGGAGGTCGCCGCCCGAACACAGCTCCATGACAATAAAGACACACTGGAAATGAGGGGAAGAAAGAGGGGACGAGACAGAGGGGATGGGGGGAAAGGGGGCGTGCTGGTTGTGGCACGACCGCAGCGTCTCTGCGAGCACACGCAGGATGATTGTGGCCTCTCTCTCCGAGATGAATGGCGACGAGTTGATGTGGTCGAGCAGGTCGCCGCCAGAACACAGCTCCATGAAGATATAGACACACTGGAAACGAGTGGGAAAGAGGGGGAAAGAGGGGGAAAGAGGGGGAAAGAGGGGGAAAGAGGGGGAAAGAGGGGGAAAGAGGGGGAAAGAGGGGGAAAGAGGGGGAAAGAGGGGGAAAGAGGGGGAAAGACAGAGCGGATGGGGGAAAGGGAGCGTGCTGGTTGCGGCATGACCACAGTGTCTCTGCGAGCACGCGCAGGATTGTGGGGGGAGGGAGAGGTGGGGGGAGGGAGAGGTGGGGGGGAGGGAGAGAGGATTGTGTATGGATAGGGTAGGGAGAATGTGAAGGCGCGGTGAATCGGTTTTGAAAGAAATTTCTAAAAAAAAAAGAGAGCGGGGTGTGTATCTGTTTTTTGAAATTTCTAAAAAAAGCAGGGTGTGTATGGATGGGCAGGGAGAAGGTGAAGGTAGAATGGGGAAGGTAGAATGGGGAAGGTAGAATGGGGAAGGTAGAATGGGGAAGGTAGAATGGGGAAGGTAGAATGGGGAAGGTAGAATGGGGAAGGTTGCTCCCAAAGCAGCCCCATAACGATTTTTGAGACGTCTCAAAAGCAGCCCCATAACGATTTTTGAGACGTCTCAAAAGCAGCCCCATAACGATTTTTGAGACGTCTCAAAAGCAGCCCCATAACGATTTTTGAGACGTCTCAAAAGCAGCCCCATAACGATTTTTGAGACGTCTCAAAAGCAGCCCCATAACGATTTTTGAGACGTCTCAAAAGCAGCCCCATAACGATTTTTGAGACGTCTCAAAAACGGCCTCATAACGATTGCCATATTCCCTGAGAGTTTGTTGGATTTCTATGTCCAGTACTAAAATCTCTGAGTTTGTTGGATTTCTATGTCCAGTACTAAAATCTCTGAGTTTGTTGGATTTCTATGTCCAGTACTAAAATCTCTGAGTTTGTTGGATTTCTATGTCCAGTACTAAAATCTCTGAGTTTGTTGGATTTCTATGTCCAGTACTAAAATCTCTGAGTTTGTTGGATTTCTATGTCCAGTACTAAAATCTCTGAGTTTGTTGGATTTCTATGTCCAGTACTAAAATCTCTGAGTTTGTTGGATTTCTATGTCCAGTACTAAAATCTCTGAGTTTGTTGTTTTGTTGGCTTTTTTTTCCTTTTTTTTTTTTTTTTTTTACCACACCTACAGCCCAGATGCTCACCTTTTCATCCTCTAGTGCGTCTTTGATCCCCACCACGTGCGGCCATCCCAGAAGCTTCCTCATAACGTCTACCTCAGCCCGGACAGCCGCCACCTTCCTCGGCTCCACCAGGGTCGCCTTGTCTATCGCCTTGCACGCATACGCCCGCCCCGTCCGCCTCTCCACACACATATACACCACCACCCCCCGCCGTCCCTGCCCGATCTGCTGCCCGACCTCGAATTTCTTCCGTATGTCTGTGAACCCGCGCTCGAAAATTCCTTCCGTGCTGCCCGTGCCCGGCTGCTGCTGCTGCTGCTGCTGCTGCCCGTCGCCGCGGGGGTCCTGGGGCTCAGAGTTTTCGGGCTGGTGGTTGGCGGAGAGCTTTTTTTTCTCGGTCTGCCCGGAACTAGGCTTCCCAGAAGGACCCTGTTCGCCTCTCTTCCCAATCCCCTGTTCGTCTCTCTTCCCAGGACTTCTGGTCCTGCTGGTACTAGGACTCTTGCTCCTTGCCTCTGCATGCCCTCTGGGTGTACTAGAAGCACCAGCACCGCCAGCAGCAACAGCAGCAGGGGCATTGGCAGTGGCACCAGCAGGGGAGTTAGGAGAGGGACTGCCGGTGGCACTGGAAGAGCCACGCGAAGAGGCTTTGCCCGAACCTGCTGCGTTCTTTGGTGTGGAGGAGCTGGTTCGGCCCGAACCTGACATGGAGTGAGCAGAACCAGACGAAACACCACCAGCTGCAGAAGCAGCAGCAGCAGCAGCAGCAGCAGCAGTGGCAGAGAGAGCAGCAGCAGCAGATGTGCCAGTGGGGGTGGTGGCAGAAGCAGGGGAATGTTTCTGCGAATTATCAGTGAAAGTGGAGGAAGGAGAGGTGGACTGAGCAGCAGTGGTGGTACCGCTGCTGCTGTGGTGACGAGGAGACGTTGACACGGTCAACCCTTTGACCTTCTTCATTCCACCCACCTCACCACCACCACCACCATCTTTACCAGCAGCAGCAGCAGCAGCAGCACCATTACTGCCGCTACCACCAGTGCCAGCGGCAGCAGCAGCAGCAGCGTTACTAGCAGAAGCAGAGGCGTTACCAGCAGCGGCCAAGGAGCCAAAGGAGCCTTTAGGAGCAGTGAGGCTGCGGCTGAACCCTTCCACAGCGGCCACCAGCCCCCCTCCCCACGTGCCCGACCCAGACCGCTTCGACCTGTGCTGCTGGCTGGCCTCCTTTGGCGTTTTGCTGCCGCCCGCACTCGTGCTGTGATCCGATCTGTGGTCCAGTTTGAACGACCGTGACGCCAAGCTGATGCCGATGCCGCTGCTGCCACCGCCACCACCACCCGTGCCGGTGCTAGCACTGTTGCTTGCACTGTTGCTTGTACTGGTTCCCCCTTTGGGAGTTTTGGAGCCTCTACTGCTGGAGGAGCGAGGCTGGGTGAATGAGCGGAGGAAGCTAGGCGTCTTACTTTCACCCCCCCACCTCCCTCGCTTCCTTTCCCTCCTGCTCCCCCTCCGACCTTGCGTTTTTCCCACAGGGATAGACCCTTTGTTTCCTTAAACAAACCCTCTCTGCTCTTGCGCATTGCGTCTCCCCTTTCTCCTCCTCCTCCTCCTCCTCCTCCTCCTCCTCCTCCTCCTCCTCCTCCTCCTCCTCCTCCTCCTCCTCCTCCTCCTCCTCCTCCTCCTCCTCCTCCTCCTCCTCCTCCTCCTCCTCCTCCTCCTCCGCCTCCACCCATTCCTCCTGCCCCGTCGTTGCCTCCTGTCCCCGGCCGCACTACCTCCTTCCTGGCCTTCCCTCTAGCTGGCGACTCCACCCTTCGCGTGGGCAAGTCTAGGAGCGCCTCTACCATCCTCCTCCCCTTCTCCCTCTCCCCTTCCTTCTCCTTCCCCTTCTCCTTACCTGCGCCCTTCCCTGTCGCCAATACTACTGCTTCCGCCTCTTTCCGCGTCCTCTCCCCTGTTATACTGCGCCCCCACCCGTCCCTTCCCCCTCCCCCGCCTGCCCCAGCACCCGGGGTCACTGCATTCCTCCCCACTCCCTTCCCCCCCTTCCCCGCACCCTTCCCCCCTGCCTTCTTCTCCTCCTCCTGTTTCCTTTCCGCCTCGCCGTCCCCCCCTTGCCACCCCCTCGCCTTCGCCTTATCTTCCCTGAAACGCGGTGAGGCTAGGCCTTTAAGCTTTTGAATAAACGCCTGCCGTTTATGCGACCTCCTCCCTCCGTTTCCCTCTCCCTCTCCCCCTCCCACCACACCTCCTAGACTCCCCGTCCGTCTGTGCCCTCTCCTGCGGACCTCCTCCCTCTCCTTCTCCTCCTCGCCCTCCTCCATCTCCCCCCAATCGTACTCCCCGTACCCCTCCCCGTCCTCCTCCTCGTCTGAATCCCCAGCCAGAGGCTCTATAGAGTCTAGAAGCGTGGTGCTGCCGTTGTCGCCGGACCAATGTGCCGAACCAGTCACCAAGGCTCGGGGCTTAGGCTTGGTGCGGGGAGGAGCCTGCTGCTGCTGCTGCTGCTGCTGCTGCTGCTGCTGCTGCTGCTGCTGGTACTGCTGTTTCTGGTATTCCGTCCCGCCATCTGGCTCGTCTAAGTAATAAACCTCTTCCTCCCACCCCTGCCCACCCGACCCTTCTACCTTCCCCACCTGTTCCCTCCCCTGCAGCAGAACCTTCTCACGTGCAAGCACCTCCCCTTCCTCCTCCTCCTCCTCCTCCTCCTCCTCCTCCTCCTCCTCCTCCTCCTCCTCCTCCTCCTCCTCCTCCTCCTCCTCCTCCTCCTCCTCCTCCTCCTCCTCCTCCTCCTCCTCCTCTTCCTCATCTCCCATTCTCACCATATCTTCCTGCCCGTCTTCTTCTACCAAGTCCTCTGGCTCCAGCTGATTGGTTGGAGAGAGCTGCCCGAGGTCCAGGGCAGCGGGGCGGCGAAACTTTCCGCTGTTGCTGCGGACGGTGAGGGTAGGGGCGGAGAGGAAGGGCGGCGACACGGAGGGCGATATCCTTTGCTCCTGCGGTTTTACCAACCGCGGTTGCTGCTGTTGTTGCTGCTGCTGCGAGTTCTGCTGCTGCTGCGAGTTCTGCTGCTGCTGCGAGTTCTGCTGCTGCGAGTTCTGCTGCTGCGAGTTCTGCTGCTGCTGCGAGTTCTGCTGCTGCTGCTGCTGCTGCTGCTGCTGCTGCTGCTGCTGCTGTGTACGGACCATGCCTCTTGACCCATCCGTTGCAACGCCCCCATCCCCAAAGATACTACCATCACCCCCGTGGCCACCAACAAGGGCATAATGCATGGAGGTGGGTGACTGTAGCGGAGCCTGGTTGGAATCAAAAGAGAACGATGCGGACGTGGGATAAGCCGGGAACGAACCAGCACCACCAGCACCCGCGCCAGCACCACCAGCACCCGCGCCAGCACCACCAGCACCCGCGCCAGCACTACCAGCAGCCAAAACTCCCCCGCCTTCTGCTCCCCCCGTCCTTTCCGCCCCTCCCGTACCTTCCGCCCCCCCTGCGGCCGAACCGCCAGAATCCCCAGAGGAGGGGCGCAGGGAGAACGAGCTACTGGGAGGATAGGAGCTGGCTGGTGGGTAGGAGGAGGGTGAGGGTGAGGGTGAGGGAGATGGGTTATCACGGGGAGATGGGTTATCACGGGGAGATGGGTTATCACGGGGAGATGAACCAGTACGACGGGCCGATCCCGTGCGCGGAGACGTTTCAGTACGGGGGGATAATACACCCCCATGGAGAGATGAAACCGTACGGGGAGATGATTCCGTACGGGGAGATGATCCCGTACGGGGAGATGATCCTGTACGAGGAGCGGAGGCTGTACGCGGGTCATAAACAGGGCTAGCACTTCGTCTCTCTGGACCCTGAAACGCCTGCGAGTACACTGCATTGCTTACATAAGCGCCAGATTCGGAATAGAGATCAGTACTGGCGCTAGAGTGAGGCGATAAGGCTGGGGCAGCAGCGGTGGGGGAAGAATTGGCGGGACGCGCTAGGGCGCGCGCGGAGGAGGAGGCGGACTTGGGGAAGCGGTGGCCGGCAGGAGAAACCGGGGGAAGCGCGGGCTGGGGCGTGAGTGGGGGAGGAACCACGCGCGGCGCAGCGGAAAGGGGGGATTTTGGCACAGCGACGCTGCGCGACTTGGGGAAGTACAGGCCCGCGTCGGCTCTGGGGGATCTCCGTCCCCCCTCGCCGCTGCTTCCCCCCATCGCCGCCGCCGCCGCAGCAGCCCTGGCGGTCACCCCACCTCCTACGCCCTGATACCTGGGGCTCTCATTCCTTCTCCCAACATGTCCTCCTCCCTCCCTCTCCCGTTCCCTGCCTCCCCTCCCCGCTGCTCCGCCGGCCTCCCCTTTCCCCGTCCCCGCGTCCTTCCCCCGCCCTTTTGCCTTCCGCGCGTCTCCCCCGCGCCTCCTGCCGTCGTCGAACCCCCCGCTAGGGTTCGGGCCTCCGGGGCTCCCTTCGTCCACTAGGAATCTCAGCAGGCGCGGAGACATGATGCCGATGCTCCCCGCGCGCACCCCGCGTGGTCCGCCAATCCCCGCGACTCCGCCCGCGCCTTCTCTCCCCCCGCTGTTCCCGCCTCCCACGCCCGCCAGTCCCCCGCTACCTCCCGCGGCTCTCTGCTGCTCCCCCCCCACCGCCGACTGCCCCTCATTGGCACCGCTTTGCACCGATCCGCCCGAGGACGACTTCGTCGCGCCGCCCGCGCTTCTGAAACCCCCGCCGAAGCCGCCGAAACTCTCGCCGTGTCCCGCGGCGCCCCCCCAGGAAGCCACTGCTGCCGCGTTCCCCGCCGTATTCCCCGCGGTGACCAGCGTATGGCTTCTGGAATAATCAGGGCCCGTTTTCGATCGCCGTTGCAGCAGCACTCCGTGCGCCCGCTCCCCCCTCTCCCCCTGATTCCCGCTCCGCCACTGCCCGTGGTCACCAATACCCTCCCCGCTCTTCCCCCTCTCCCCGTGCGAAACTGCCATCCCGCCCATACCCGTGGTATGGCGCCGAACCATGGGCATAGGTTCGGGCACACCCTCGGGATTCTCCGCCCAACCTGACAGCCCGTCGCTGCCCCTCCGCCATCCCTGCCGGCGGTTGACGGCTGGCCGGTTATTGTCGATGGCACGGCGGGCAGACGGGGATCTGGCCATAGCATGCCGGGCATTAGAGGTCCCTCGTCCTCGATCGTCTCTTATCGCGTCGTCGAATCTACCGCTGCCACCAGCACCGCCACCCGCAACACCGCCAATCCCGCCGCCAGTTCCGCGCTCATACTCATCGCCGCCAGAACCCCACGCGCCGGCTCCAAGCCCCCGTTCTCCAAAGAGATATTCTGTGAGCTCGTTGTGCTCACCACCGATATTGTCACACTGCCTTGAGTCATCATTTCGATGGCGAACGAAACTCGGCGGGTCTAGTTCCGCGGACGAGGCGGAGATGCCCTTGCGGAGGGCGCGGTTGGCGCGGTCGCGCTTAGGAGGGCCGTCGCCTGAAAGGGGAATGTGCTGGTCGCTGAAGGGCCGAGCGTCGGTACCAGGCTCGGGTAGTAGGCGGTGCCGCTGGTTCGGCGGGTGGTTCGGATAATGGTACGCCGGGTGGTTTGGAAGGTGGTTTGGAAGGGTGGACGAACGTGGAGAGCGGTTTAATGGCACGGCAGCGGCGTCAGACGTCGTTGTGACTACGTGCTGACGTGGCGGCATGGAGCGAGAGGCATCAAGACGCGCGCCGGCGTCATGTGGCTGGACATACCAGTCCATGCTGACTTAGAAACGTTGTGATTAAAGCGAAGGGACACAGCCGAAGAAGTAGCGAGAAAAAATAAATACGCGAGCCGTAGCGGCGATTGTATGAAAGAAAAATATATTTCCAGCTCAGCACGCTGATAAAGACGCGGGTCGGCAAGAGGGCCTAAGGCCAAATCGCGGTTAGCTGCTACTTTGTCGAAAAACGAGGCACGGAGGAAAACTGTCGTTCTATAACCGACTGGCGTGAGCTTGGGCACTACCAAGCGAAAACAGAGGACCAGACTCGGGTCGTTATCGTGAAGGTAGCAATGACGGTTCGCAAAAAACCATTAGCAGCATACCCGTCGAAGAAACTCCGTGAATTAGGGGAGCAACCCTAACTCGCAAACTCCTTCCTCACATGTTATAATGCTATGACAAGATAGGAGTTTTTAATCGCCTAGTCACTCTAGCAGGACACTGCGTAAACCCGAGGCGTGACATTCGGCAAGGCAAGAAACGGGAAGCCTGAAACTTCAAACAAAAACAGACAAAATCAAACTCTCTAGGTCATCGTATCTAACCACCATGTCGCCATCAAACGCCTTTCTGGATTCAGTAGAGCACGTGACGCTGCCGAGAGTCTGTATTTACCGATCAGATATCCGTATGTGAGGAGAGCTGAGGACAATCCGAAATGTGATGCTCATTTTGACTGGATGGCAGGGAAAAGAATAGGGGCGGTGGTGGTGGTGGTATATGATAGGCACGACTGAGGAGTTGTGAGACGCACGCAGAGGTAGAGAAACAAGTGAAATGGGGGGAGCAACAAGGGGAACGGGGAGAAACAAGGGAAACGGGGAGAAACAAGGAAACTGGAAGAAACAAGGAAACAGGAAGAAACAAGGAAACAGGAAGAAACAAGCAAGGCAAGCCAGCACAAGAAGATCTATTGCGAGCTTGGGATGGGACAACGACAAGTGCAAGGGAATTTGCACGCTTTCGCCTGCTTATCGTCCAGTGCGGTATGGTTCAGTACGTTTTTATTCGGTGCGTTCCGCTCTGGAACGCAACATTTCGGAATTTCGGAGGGGAAGACAAGCCCAAGGCGAGCTGGAAGAAAACGGGCAGTTCACAAAGCAAGGAGCATTTCGCTGGTGCACATTTTATAATGCCAGTCCTCCATTATATGCAACCACACTGCCAAACCACGACCTACGGTATCTGGACTATTTTTTTTACTGTAAATTAGCTGCCGAAGCTGTTGATGACTTGTCACGGTAAATTTCTTGACCTGTGAATCAGACGAGGAGGCTGCCGATGACTTCGCCGCCGATGACTTTTGTTGTTTTGTATGGTCCTTGGTTGAGAGCTTTCTGCTGAGCCTTTTCGACAACGTGACTGGCTCGGCAATTTTGGTGTGCAAGGGATATTATCCAGGGACGCTTGGCAGAGGTATTTCGGTACAAGAACCTTAAATAAAACGGTGTAGCAATTCCTATGGTTTCATTTTCCTACACAAGCCACTTCCCCCCCCCCCCCACAATGTTCTGTATCAAAATAAGGCATCCAAGTCTAGCACCATTCTAGGCTTTGCAACCTATGTGAAGTAGATGGACATGGCGTTTGCACGAGCCATTCTCTGCATGATTCAAAGGGATTGGGTAGCAAACATGAATCAGAAGGGACACAAACCATAAGCAAACCGCATGCTGCTAACGTTATAACCAATCAAACCTCACTTCACAGACAGCGCCATGAGCATACGCGCAAGACGTGGTGTGTCCAAATAGGAGGTGGTTGCGGTGCCAGCCAACCCAAAAGTAGCGAAAAATATTCGATTAAGTGTTCTTACCAGGTAGAGATATTTTCGATGGTATGTCACTGCTTTCTTGCAGAGCTTCTTAATGTTCCAACTGGTCGCTGCCAGGTTGAAATACTGGGAAAGGGCAGGAAAGAACCGGGTATAGGTAGGAGGGGAGGAAGAGGGGCAGGGGGAGAGAGGAGGGGATGCCTTTAATGTGAAATGCAGAAAACTTGTTGCACCCATCTATCCCCACATCATGCAGCCCTCCGCGCAACATTATGCATGTATTTTTCCCAGACAACATCATGGATGCTAGCTCATGAGTCACTCACATGTACTGAATCATCCCGACCATGAGCATACTGCACTGCACCAGATCCTCCCTCATCCCCACCCCAGCGGGATTGCCAGCATACATGCACACATTTACTGCCTGCACCCATTCACACAATCCACTCTCATGCCCCACATACGTCACTCACATGTACCACATCATCCCGCCCCTGAGCATACTGCACGAGGTCTTCCCGCATCTCCAGCAGAATCGCCAGCACGCATGCACCACACATACCCCACTCACATTACTCACATGCACCACACATACCCCACTCACATTACTCACATGCACCACACATACCCCACTCACATTACTCACATGCACCAGCCACCCAAATGCTCCACATACCCCACTCAAATGCACCACGTGGTTCACTCAAATGCACCACGTGGTTCACTCACATGCACCTCTGAGTGTACTGAGTATACTGCACCAGGTCCTCCCTCATCTCCAGCAGAATCACAAGCATGCATGCATGCCCCAACATGCACCACACACATGCACCATATGCCCCTCTCACATGCCAAGCATGCGTCACTCACATGTACGACATCATCCAGCCCTTGGGCATACTGCACCAGGTCCTCCCTCATCTCCAGCAGGATCGCCAGCACACAGAAGGTCGTCATCCTCTCTACCTCCACCTCCCCCTCCTCCTCCCCTCCCCCCACCAGCACCCCTTCCTCATCCACCTCCCCCTGTGGGGACGGAATCTCAGCCACAGACAGAGCAGGGGACGATAGGTTAGACTCCGTAGGGGAGGACGGAGGCTCGGCGGCAGGTCTGGTGACGGAGATGGGGAGAGGTGCGGACGGGGCGAGGACCATGAGAGGGGGGATTGAGGGGCGCCTGCGGTCCGAGCCTAGGCCCGTGCCTGAGCCCGAGCCTGTGCTGGAGGCTAGGGAGGGAGAGCTTTTGGAGATAGAGCTAGGGGTGGAGCTTGGGCTGTCTGTTGCTGCAGCTGCTGTTGCCAACACTGCTGAGGAGGAGGAGGATGGTGATGACGACGATGGTAGTGCTGTTGGTGCTGCTGGTGCGGTGAAGGCTGGGGGCGGTGGTGGCAGTACTTTGGGTGGTGTGGACGAAGAGCGAGGCTTGAAGTGAAACGAGTCTTCTGTTGCTCCAGCAGGGGCAGCAGCAACGGCAGCAGCAGGAGAAGCCGCAGGAGCAGCAGGAAAAGCAGGAGGAGGAGAAGCGGGAGAAGCACCAGCAGCAGCAGGTGCGGCAGGTAGAGGAGGTGACAAGGACAGTGACGGGCTTTGCATTACGCCGAATCCCTGCCACTCCCCATCCTCATCCGCCTCTTGCCCCGCTTTCATGCCCTCCCTCTGCCTTCCACCCACTGCTGCTTCACCCATCGCCAACCCTTCTACTGCCGCTTCCCCCCCACTCTCAGCCACCCTTACTCCAGGCATCTCTGCTCCCCTCGTAGACCTCCCCTCTTCCCCTGCTGTCCCGCCTGCCTCTTTCTCCTTCTCCTCCTCCCCTTTTTCTCTGCCTGCCTCCTTCGGCCCCCAAAACCCCGACATCCCGTCGTGACCACTAGCCCTTCTGTAATGGGTTTGTTTTACTCTATCCCTTGAATGCCGTTCCCCACTTAAGCTTCTTTGAGGCGTTCCCAGCCACTCCCCACCCTGCCTGCTCTCCTTGTCTGTGTGTCTCCTTTCCCACTCCTTCTCCTCCCCATCCCCTCGCCCTCCCGTCACCCCTCCTGCCTCCCGCGGAAGGCTGTGCCACCCCTTGGCACTCCCTTTGACCGCACCCGACCGCATCGCTGCTCGGTTCGTATCGTCGAAAATTTTAGCCAGGAACTCTTTAGAGGACGGGGATTTAAGTGCCAGCGGGGATTTAAGCAGATCAGGGGGAACAAATGGTCGAGGAGACTTCATCCCAGAGCTTAGCTCAGGAGGAATCCTGAATGGACCAGGGGATTTCAGCCCAAGAGTCACCTCAAACGGGAGGGCAAAGGGCATTGAACCCGGGGATTTCGGAGGGTGTTCCGCCCGGGGTGACTTGAGATTCAGGTGTAATTCAGGGGGAACCTTGAGGTTTAACCGGCGGAGGGGAGCCTTGAAGATGCTAGCAGGAGAGAGGGGAGAGGCTCCAGATACAGACCTTGAGTGGGGGAACAGGTGAGGGGGGTGAATCGGATGATCTCTGCTAGTGAAGGCTCCACCTCTCTCGTGCACCGTCTGGCCTCTACCCTCGTGGGACGCTCTAGAGAGGGACTTGGAGGGTGGGAAGAGGAATGGCGCATCTGGTTGGTCGTCTGATAGGCGGTCATCTGGCTCCTCCAGACCTCCCTCTGGCGTGAGATTGACCACGTCATCTTGCATGGGCCCCACCTGAACACCACCGCCCACCTCTGGTGCGGAATCGTGCTTCCGTTCAGCCTCATGCTTCCGTTCAGCCTCGTGCTTCCGTTCAGCCTCATGCTTCCGTTCAGCCTCGTGCTTCCGTTCAGCTTCATGCTTCCGTTCAGCCTCGTGCTTCCGTTCAGCCTCGTGCTTCCGTTCAGCCTCGTGCTTCCGTTCAGCCTCGTGCTTCCGTTCAGCCTCGTGCGTCGGTTTGCCCGATAGAAGCCCGCTCGGTATGCTGCCTGTGCTGCCTGTGCTGCCTGCTGCGCTGCCTGCTGCGCTGCCTGCAGTGCTGCTAGCTGTGCTACCATCTATGCTGGGAGCAGCTGGGAGGAAGCGAGGGGATCTGGTGGAGCCTCCCCAACCGTGCCCGAACATGCTGCCGGATCCCGAACCTGCAGCCTCGGTGCCCGAGCCTGCTGAGCCGACCCTGGGAGATATGGGAGGCAGGCCTAGGGGAAAATTGCTAGTGCGAGCAGCACCACCAGCACCAGCACCAGCAGCAGCAGCACCACCACCACCACCACCCATGCTGCTGCCGGCCTGCCTGCGCTTCCCCACTGCAATGGGCAGATCAGCAGGGGAGGCGGGGCGAGCAGAAGCAAAGGAGGAGGGGGAAGGGAGAGAGCGTGAGGGCATGTGGGAGAAAGATCCAGGGGACCTGGGAGGCAGGAAGAGAGACGGCTTTGTGTCCGAGCCAGCACCAGCAACAGCAGTAGCACCAGCAGCAGCACCAACCAGAGAACCAGTAGAAGCACCAGCGACAGTTTCAGAGAGCTCAACACGAGGGGGCCTTAGTCGCTGCAGGGGAGCGTTTGAATCTTCCTTGCTACCACCCCCTGCCCTGCTCTCTTCGCCCAATTGAGGACCAACAGGTGCAGACCCACCCACTACAGCAGTACCAGGAGACGAGAGAATCGAGGGAGAGGAGGCCTCCCTGGGGGAATGACCTCGCATGTGCCTCTGGCTCCACTCTAAAGTCGCACGCGTGGGCGCAGGCACTGACAGCACCGGCACGGCACGAGCAGGGACTGACAGAGGCGAGTCTGCACGCGCAGGGACTGACAGAGGCGAGTCTGCACGCGCAGGGACTGACAGAGGCGAGTCTGCACGCGCAGGGACTGACAGCGGCGAGTCTGCACGCGCAGGCACTGACAGCGGCGAGTCACCATCCACCTCCCGCCTCAGCGCTCCTTCCAGGGCTGGAATCTTGGGACTGCCTGCTCGCCCCAGCTCCCTCTGCTTCATGCTCAAGGGCGTTTTCGGGCTGTCCTTGAGAATACCCACAGCTGTTTCCGGGCTTTCTTTGAGCGTACCCCCCACGGGCGGCTTTGGACTGTCCTGCTGGCCCTTCAGGGTCCCTATGGGCGGCTTCAGACTGTCCTTTATGACCCCTATTGGTGCTTTTGGACTGTCTCTTGAAGGGAGAGGCGGCATGCCCTGTGAAACCAGGTTAAGTGAAGCTGAGTGCTCTTCGTCGCTCCTGACCCGCCTCACACTCATGTTCCCAACTCCTGCCGCCGCCGCCGAAGCTGCCACTGCTGCTGCTGCTGCTATGGACGCTCCTTCCCATTCCCCATCTTCTCTTCCTTCCCTTTCTTCCCTCCGAACCTCGGAGCTTCTCCTCCGATGCTGCTCCGACGGCGAACCAAACCCCCCACCCGAGCCTCTTCCCGAGCCTAGGTCAGGCTCCGAACCGAAACTAACCCCTCTCCGCAGCTTCTCCCTGTGGGACCTCACCGAGGCAGACCCAACGCTCCGTGCCGATCCTAGCGCCTGGCTGCCGTGCCTGCGGAGGCTGGTTCGGGAGGAAGGCTCGCGCAGAGCAAGGGTGGCGGCGAACCTAAGATTATCCCTCCTGTAAGGCCCGGAATCAGCCCAGGAGAAGGAGCGGGAGAGGGCTCGAGAGGAGGAAGGGGGGGTGGTGGAGGAGGGGTTGAAAGAGGAATCTGCTGTGAAGCTGCGGGTGGCATTGTGGTTGGCACCGCCTGTTCTGCTGAGAGTGGTAGCTGTAGCAGCAGTAGCAGCAGCAGCAGCGGAAGCAGGTCCAGCAGAAAAGACTCTAGCGGGACTCCAGTTGCTTGTGGCTGTAGCAGCAGCGGCAGCAGCACCAGCAGCAGGAGCGGTGGGTTTGTCAGTGTGTTCCCGATCAAGAGCACTGCTGAAACCCCAAAAGCTGTCACTGCTGCCCTTGACCGCCGCAACAGAGGCAGCAACAGAGGCAAGCGCAGCAGAGAAGTCGTGAGCTGCACCTGCTGCTGCCTCTCCCATGCTCCGATGCTCCCTCATGCTCCAATGGCTTTTCAGCTCAGCCAGCTGCTGCTCCTGCTTCCACACCAGTGGCAGGTGCAGCGGGCGCAGCAGCATCAAACCCGGGTGCATGCTCTGATACCTCCTCAGAAACCCGTGCTTCTGCTTCACCTGCTGCAGCTGCTGCTGCTGCTGCTGCTTCTGCCGCTGCTGCTGCCGCTGCACGGCCACCGCTGCTGCCTTCTGCTTCTGCGAGCTGTTTTGCCGGCGGAGCAGGCGCGAGTGGAAGGACAAGGAGGGAGGCTGGTGGTGGGAGGAGAGGGGGAAGGGGAGGTGGGTGCGGGCTCGCTGGGATGGGTGGGAGGGGTGCGAGGGAGGGGCGAGGATGGTGGGGAGTGCGTTGATGTCGATACGGGGGACATCGAATTTGAGTGAGCCTCCCATGGGGCGCTGCAGGGAGCGGTTGGAGGTTGAAGAAGCTCCAATGCTGCTAGAGATTGAAGAAGAACCTGCAATGGCGCTTAAAGAAGCTCCTCCAGTGGCGGTTTCTCTAGCACTGCTAGAGATGTTCCCCTTGTTGCTCATGCTGCTGCCGCTGGTAGTGGTGCTGCCGGTGGTGATGCTGGGAATTTTAGGCTCTCTCTCGCTCCCCAATGACTGGTATCTGCGCAGCGGAAGCGGTGGCCGATCCTGACCGTCCATCTGGAGTGGCCTTGCAGCTAAAGAATCAGCACCGTTGCTACCTCCTCTGCCATCCACACCCTCCTCTCCTCCCCTCCCCATCTTCTCCCTCCTCTCGTCCCCGTCCTCCTCCCTCCTCCTCTCCTCCTCCCCTCTCACACGCCCTCGACCCTTCCAAGCAACAGCAGTCGGAGGCCTCCCCGCCTCAAACCCTGCCCTCCCATACCCACCCCGGGCCAAACCCACTTCCCCACCACCACCACCTCTTCCGCCCCCACCATCTGCCTCTCTTCCTTCTCTTCCTTCTCTTCCGTCTCTTGACTCTCTCCCTTCTCGTCCAGACGTGTACTCCTTCCAGTTTCCCCCTGACACAGACCGCACGATCCGCCCCCTCCCCTCGCCTTGCCCCCGCTCCACACAGCTCCCCACCCCCCCTCTCAGAGCCGCCCGCCTCCGAGCCTCCAGCTGCTGGCTCGTGGGAAGCTGCTCATCCGGAGGAAGGTCCTTGGACGGATCGAAGGCCACTCGGGAGGACACAGCAGAAAGATCCAGCACTGCGTCCTCTGCGTTGCTGCTGCTGTGCCTGTGTGCAGAGGCGAACGGAGGAGAGGCGGAGGCAGGGAGGGGCGGGCGGCTGGTGGTGCTGCTGCCCATGACGTGGATGGTGATGCTGCGGGTGAAGCCAAACAGCCCGTCAAATAGCCCCTCACTGCTGCTGCTGCTACTGCTGCTGCTGCTGGTTCTGCCGCTACAGCTGCTGACAGCTCTGCTGCTGCTGCTGCTGATGTAGCTGCTGTGGCTGCTGTGCCATCAGATCTGGTGTTGGAGTGTGCTGGGGCCATGCAAGTTCCACTAGTATGAGTGTGCGTGTTGCTGCTGGTGGTGGTGGTGCTGGTGGTGGTGGTGGTGGTGGTGGTGGTGCCGCTGATGGTGCTGCAGTGAACGTGTGTCAGCTCGCTTGCTGAATGGCTTGGATGCACTTGCCTGCCGCCGCCCGCCCTCTCCTCGCCCCCACTGGCAGCACCAGCGCTAGCAGCAGCTGCTACGGGAGCTGCTGCAGCAGCAGGAGGAGGAGCAGCAGGAGGAAGTGGGGGAAGGGGAGGGTCGTCCTTCTTGCCCCACAAGAAGGGAACAGTAGCAGCAGCAGGAGCAGCAGGAGCAGCAGGAGCAGGAGCAGCAGGAGCAGCAGGAGCAGCAGGAGCAGCAGGAGCAGCAGGAGCAGCAGGAGCAGCAGGAGCGTCCTTCTTGCCCCACAGGGACCGCATGCGGCCAAATATGGATGACTCATTGCCACCTGACGCACCCCACATGCCTCCAATCGCTCCCCCTGCTCTGCCTGTGCCTGCCCCTCCTCCTGCCCCTTCACCTGCCCCTTCACCTGTCCCTCGTGTCTCACCAGCTGTCCCTCCTGCCCCGTTCACTGCGCCTCCTGCAACTGCTTCCTCTTCGGGTTCCCCCTCTTCTTCCTGCCCCTCTTCTTCCTCCCACACTCCTGCTATCATAGCCGCTTCCTGGGACAGGCGCCTATCCCTCCCCCACTCACCCTCCTCCTCCCCCCCACTCTCTCCCCCTTCCTCCTCCTCCTCTCCCTCCCTCTCCTCTTCTGTCCCGTATCCCATATTCCCCTGATCCTCCTCCCCACTCTCACCTTCTAACTCACTACCCTGACTCTCACTCCTACTTTCCCCCTCCCCCTCCTCGTCCTCCTCATCCTCCTCTTCACTCTCACTCTCCCCATATGCCTCCTCATCCTCCTCCTCCCCTTCCCACCCCTCCCCACCCTCCTCCACCCCTCCATCCTCCTCCCACGCCTCAGGCACAACAAACCCCCTCCCACCACCCACCCCACCACCCGCTTTCCTCCCCATAAGAGCCCCAGACGCAGGAGTATCCGGCACAGCATGCACGGCAGCCTGAGTCACAGCCAGCTCGGCAGCCATCAGGGCGATTTCAAGCCTCTGTGGAGACGAAAAGAGGTCCACAGAGCCTCGATCCGCGTCCTCATGCGGTGCTGCGAACGCCGACGTGCCGCCGCTGCCTGCAATGCTGCTAGCAGTACCCACCGAACCCAGAAGAAGCACGTCGAAATTGAACCACCCACCACCACCACCGCTGCCACTGCCGCCGCTGCTGCTGCTGGTAATGCTCGCAGCGCCGCCAACACTGGTAGCACCAGCGCTGGGAACAGAAGAGAGCGGCACGCGAGTGGCGTTGGCGATGTCGACAGCAATAGCTGTGAAGAGATCGGCGTCGAGTAGGACGGAAGCGGCCGCCCGGACGGCAGCGGCGGTGGCAGCAATGTAGGCTTGGCGCTCCATGGTGAGGTGCGGCAGGTGGCGGGCCGTGTGGAAAATGGCTTGATCCGCCAGAGGGAGGAGTGCTGCACTGCACGCGTCATAGTCCCACGCCCACATCATCTGTGGGAGGAGGGGGGGTTAAGAGAGGGAGATGACTTTTGAGTCGACTCAAAAGTCACCTCACGCCCACATCATCTGTGGGAGGAGGGGGGATTAAGAGAGGGAGAATACTCCTCATCCTTGACCTCGAGTCTAGTCGCTCGAGGACACATTTCTTCTTCGGGTATTGCGCTTGCAATACTCGTCCCGTATCTGCGTGACGTGCATGCAGCATTTCAAAAATCTAACAGGGCACAGCTCACCCTCACAACGTACTGTTGACCTTCACAAAGAAGAGTCGACAACCGTTGGAAGGGGCAAAAAAGATGACCTCACAGCCCACTGCCCACAGACGACCCTCACCTCCCAGAGGTAGAGCGCATCAGCAAAGGAGAGCTCGCGGCGGAACATGGCCATGACTGTTCGCACCGTGAAGAACATGGTGCCTGCCCCTATCTCGTCTGTGGGACAGAGGGAACGAGAGGGGGAGGGGAGTGGAGGATGAGAGGGAAACAAAGGGAATGCGAAGAGCTTGCAGACAGCTCATCGCGGAACATGGCCATGACTGTTCGCACGGTGAAGAACATGGTGCCCGCTCCTATATCGTCTGTGGAGGTGGTAGAGAGGGAGATGCAAGGGGGAGACAGGGAGCGTGCATCGATGACCATTGCGGAACATGGCCGTGGTGGAACATGGCCGTGGCGGAACATGGCCGTGGCGGAACATGGCCGTGGCGGAACATGGCCGTGGCGGAACATGGCCGTGGCGGAACATGGCTGTGGCGGAACATGGCCGTGGCGGAACATGGCCGTGGCGGAACATGGCCGTGGCGGAACATGGCCGTGGCGGAACATGGCCGTGGCGGTACATGGCCGTGGCCATGACTGTGCGCACCATGAAGCATGGTGCCTGCTCCTATCTCGTCTGTGGAAGGTTGTGGGGGAGGGGAGGAATGCGAGGGAGAGAGAGAGTCTACAGGGAACGGGCCTACAGAGTGAACTGGAAGAGATCCCTACCACTGTCTGTGCACGAGCGAGATGACTTTTGAATCGACTCAACAATGAACTGGACGAGTTCCATCCATACCACTGTGTAAACGAGCGTTTATTATGCAAGTGACAGCACTTACCTAAGTGTGCATGCAGCTCGGGGTCGAGAGTGTAGACCATGTGGGAGAGCCGGCTGATCTCCCTCTGAATGCCCAGGCCCGTGTCCGTGTTCATAAAGTCCTCTCTCTGGGGATTAAAAGTAAACAAAAGGGGTGAAGAGGATGCAAGAGACGCAAAAGGAGTCGTGGGGGTTCTTCCACAGGCGCACCTCCCTCTGAATGCCCAGGCCCGTGTCCGTATTCATAAAGTCCCCCCTCTGGCAAGCAGTCAGTGACAGCAAACAGATACAGGGGGCTTGAGGTGAAGCTTCAAAGGTTGGTCAAAACTAGAGAAATGTACACAGTCTGTTTTGAGACGTCTCAAAAGTCGCAGCAGTCGAATCTCTCTTTTTAGACCTCCCTCCCTCTGCCCGTCAGTGGAAGAGGAGCACAGAGGACGCAGCAGGGACAGGCGGGCGAGGCAAGTGGGTAGCATGCGAACCAAACCAGACGCACTCACCTCACCACTCTCCTCATCAGCCTTTCGAATGCCCAAAATGCGTCTGCGCCGTCGGGGTAGAGCACGACCATGGGGGACATGAGGTCGCTCATGCCCTGGCATGGCAGTACCCCACCAGGTGTCCACATGCCCACATGCCCACATGCCCACATGCCCACATGCCCACATGCCCACATGCCCACATGCCCACATGCCCACATGCCCACATGCACCCTACCACTACTTAATCACCACTCTCCTCATCAGCCTTTCGAACGCCCAAAATGCGTCTGCGCCGTCGGGGTAGAGCACGACCATGGGGGACATGAGGTCGCTCATGCCCTGGCATGGCATGGCATGGCAGTACCCCACCTCAGTGCATTGCGTCCATACCAGACCACACACACACCCCAACTCCCTGCTTCTAATCAACCAACGACTCACCACTCTCCGCATGAGCCTTTCAAAAGCCCAGAAGGCATCGGCGTCGTCAGGATACAGCACGACCATGGGGGACATGAGGTCGCTCATGCCCTGGCAGTACCCCACCTCGGGGTCAAACCACGCATACACGGCCAGCACGTTCATCAGGCGCGCTCGGCTCCTGCTGCTCTCAAAGAAGAGCAGGGAACGGTCAGCGCGGGTTACATCCACTCCTGAGGGGAGATGGGGGATGAGGGATGAGAGAAGAGGGGTGGTAGGGTCAAACCACGCATACACAGCCAGCACATTCAAAGAAGAATAGCGAGCGATCGGCCCGTGTTACATCCACTCCTGAGGGGAGATGGGGGATGAGGGATGAGAGAAGAGGGGTGGTAGGGTCAAACCACGCATACACAGCCAGCACATTCAAAGAAGAATAGCGAGCGATCGGCCCATGTTACATCCACTCCTGAGGGGAGATGGGGGATGAGGGATGAGAGAAGAGGGGTGGTAGGGTCAAACCACGCATACACAGCCAGCACATTCAAAGAAGTATAGCGAGCGATCGGCCCGTGTTACATCCACTCCTGTAGGGGGAGCGGGAGAAAGGGGATGGCAGAGGGGGGGGGGGGGGGGAGGGGGTCGAACCTCGCGTACACCGCCAGCACGTTCCTCAGGCGCAAAGAGGAGAGGGGGTTTGGGAGGGGATTGAGGAAGGGATTTGAGCAAAGACGTGGGATACTTGAACTGGCAACAGTCGCGGACGGTGGTAGCAGCTAGCTGGCGTACGGGGCGAAAGGGTGGAAGATGACAAATGAACGTTTCGAGCCAGCCATTTCGAGCCAGCCATTCAAGCCAGCCATTTCATTACCCCTGTTTGCCGACCTATTTCTTCTTTCTTCTGAATACCAACCTATCTGGTAGAGCCCCTGGCGCCACTTGTTTATTCGATCCAGCCCCACGCGCGCCACCACCTCTGCCCTCTCCGCCGCCCACGTCCTCATCACCTCGTCCACCTCGCTCTCACTCGCCCTGCGACTGCCACTCCTCCCCTTGCTGCCACCACCGCCATGACTACCACCACTGCCACTTGTACTCCCCCCCAATTCGCCCCTCCTCCTCCCCCTCCTCCTCCTCCTCCTCCTCCTCCCCCTCCTCCAGCACCCCCAGCTGCGCCCCGGTTTCCTCCCAGGCGGCGTCGAGGGGCGGGATGGGCGGCACGAGGCGCAGCGGGCCGACGTAGGAGTCTGGGAGATCGACCTCTGAGCCATCGTCCTGGGGGAGGGAGGGGGGGGGTGGGAGACGGGAGATGGGAGAGGGAGGGCTTGAGAGGAAAGACGAGGCACGAGGCGTAGCGGGCCGACATAGGAGTCTGGGAGATCGACCTCTGAGCCATCGTCCTGACGGGCGGGCATAGGGAAACGGGAGTGTAGGGGGGTGGGGGGGGGTAAGGAGAGGTGCAGAAGAGGCAGAGGGGCAGAAGACGGTTGGATGGATGGAAGAGAGTGACGTGCGATTCTGAGAAGCACCTCAGAGGGTCTAGTCTACTTTTGAGCCAACTCTAAAGTGAACGAGGGATGGAAGAGACCGAGAAGAACGTCAGAGAGTCTACCAGCTGGATTTACTTGGCATCCCAACCAACACATGCCTACCCCCCATCGTCCTCTATCATGCACCCATGTCCACCCAACCCTCTCCACCGCTCTGCACCCACCTGCGTTCTAAATGATCGACCGCAAAGCCACTATCATTGACCAGGTATACCAGCTGGAACTTCCAGAGCAGCCAAGTATACGGCTCCCCCTCCTCTGTCATGCCACACCTCTGCACCCATCTCCACCCATCTGCACCCCTCTTCACCGCTCTTCACCACTCCGCACCCACCTGCACCCTGGGGAAGTCGACCACGAATCCGCTGCCAATGACCGGGTCCACCAGTTGGCACTCCTTGAGCATTGCAGCATAGGCCTCCCTGCGCATGCTCCTCAGCTCGCCACACTCGCCACTCGTGGCTGCCGGGCTGACCAGCCCCAGCAGGTACTCCCACACCTCCGGCCGGATGCCCGGCTCACAGCCCTGAGGGATTGGGATACAGGATTCAAATGCGAGGAGAATCGGGGTTGAAAGAAGAGAAACATATGGCTCCCTGCTCATGACCCTCAGCTCGCCGCACTCGTGGCTGCAGGGCTGACCTGACCAGCCCCAACAGGCACTCCCGTACCTCAGGTCGGATGCCCGGCTCACAGCCCTGGGAGAAGAAGAGGTGTCAATGGGGAAACAGGGGCAGGGAAATGAGAGGGGGAACGGGTTAGAAGCAGAGCATATGCCTCCCTGCACATGCCCCTCAGCTTGCCGAGCTCTGCACTCGTGGCTGCGGCGCTGACCAGCCCTAGCAGGTACTTCCACACCTCAGCATGGCGCATACCCCTCAGCATGACACATACGTACCCCGCGCTGTATGAGGCGGAGGGCAGCCTCTAGGTTGACCATGCGCCCCTCCGCGTCAAACATGTCGTTCCACTTCTCCTCTGACAGCCGCTTGCTCGCCTGCGTTTCACAGACCGCCCATACCATGCCATGCCATGCCATGCCGTGCCGTGCCGTGCCATGACGTCACACAGCGGAGCATGCCACACCATGCCATGAGGAGAAGTGGGAGGAGGGGTGCAGGAGGATAGGTGTAAGAAGGGAGGAATAGACGGAATCTGTTGGTTGCCAAGGGTAGCGATATGACAGCACTCATTGACGCAGAAACGAGAGGTGGAAGATCCAGGACACGAGGTGCTCGCTCGCTGACTCAACCAGTGTCAAAGCCTGCTGACTGATTTGCAATCGAAACCTTGCTGACGGTGCCGACTGGCACGTCCTGACGCTCCTGGCACACGGCGTACAGAGTGTCCTTGGAGATTTCCCCAATACTACCTGTCCCCTGACTCACCCGCGGTCGGAACTTGCTGACGGTGCCGACCAGCACGTCCTACCGCACGGGGTAGCACGCGTCCAAGTCCTCCTCCACCAGCCCTGACTCTGTAAAGTTCTCCAGGACTTTTTGTTCCCTGACTCACTGGAATGTGGAACTCACCCGCGGTCGGAACTTGCTGACGGTGCCAACCTGCACGTCCTGCCGCACGGGATAGAATGCATCCAAGTCCTCCTCCACCAGCCCTCCCTTGAAGAACCCTCGGAAGAACGACAGCGCCATCGCCGGCACACCGAGGCTTGCTATTGGACCGGATGAGCGGCTTCAGGAACCGTGCCGAGCTATCGCTTTAAACACAGTGTCGTGTTATTTTCCGCCGTCGTGCCATGCTGCGTCGTGGTCCCATGTTCCGTCGCCGTGCCTTGTTCCGTCAAGTCATTGCATTTTGGATGGTATCATGTCGTTTGGACCTGTGCCATGCCATCCACTGTGGTAACATGTAGCGCTTCGGCATGATGCGCTGCGGTATCGTGTCGGTTCACAACATGGTCGTGCGATTAAAGATTTCTGTATGTCAGTTTCCGCGACGCGTTTTCGAAAAGACGCACATTCGCTCCGGAAAGTATCACGCTAACGATAAAGGATTTGAACGCAGCTGTACTCACGCGCCTTGCGGGTGCTACTGACTAGGTTTCTCGGATTCCCAAAAAACAGAAATTATTATTCCTAATGTGTAACATGGTCTGGACTGGACTCAGTCCTCTCCGTGGAACCTGAGTCAATGCGAGGTGTATCAGCACGCAAGGACAAACTTTAGGAACGCCAGCCTACCAACTAAGCCAATTCAATCTCTTTGGCCAAGTCATGACAAAGCCTAACTCCAGCCTAGCCACTATTTGGTCTGGTGCCGCCTACGCATTTGGTTCCTGCTGGAGAGTTGCTGACTGGTGTTTACTGTAGCGGGTGATCTCTTGAAATCCCACTGGGGCTTGACCTGCTGCTGGCATTGGGATTGGTTGACTGTCCTGTCCTTGGGGTTGGTTTCTGTTTGTCAAGATATTGGCGAACGGAACACGCATCGGTTTACTTCTGCAATATATATACTGTGCGGATACACTTGTAGAAGATCCTCGTGAAGTATCGGTTTCTCCGCGCTGATGATTCTGTACCTGATATTGCACTGTCCGTTAGGGAAGTTCAGCGGTGTTGAGTCTAGATCCTCGTTCAGTCACATTTTCCTCTTTAAATCCAAGTTTCCGGCTAAGATTTGTGATGCAATCGCAGGCACTGGTTGGAGAACGCGAGCCGTCCTAATCGAACCGCGCAATCCGCGCCTCGATATCACCGAGCCATTCCCCCGCAACCCGGAACCACCAGCAAAAATGCGTCCGCCAGCTTCAAAATTGCGCCCCTATTTCTTCCGCCCTCCATCTTCCCTCGATTACGCGAAGCGCAAGCTTCATTATCTCCCTTTGCTCCTCCCCCCCCTGACTTCCCCCGAGGCTCGGTGCTTTCCCCAGCTTCCGTTTGAGTGGCGTGGGCAAGGTTGTTGCGGCGTGACGACGACGCTTCGGTTCGGACCACCCTGGGCGCGCCTCGAGTTAATTAGCTAGCCACGCTCCCTGCACCCTTGCTTCTTCGGCCTCTCTCCTCTTGACCCTAACCAAGTCCCCTCGTCGCGACGCGACAATAAACGTCGTCGTACCTTGTCCTTGCTCCATGACTCCCTTGCGTTTAGTGTGTCACCACCACTCTGCTCTCGTTCTCTCTCCCACGCGTCATTTTCTAGTCTTGCGAACCAAATAGCCAAACAGCTTAGGAAGGGCTGAGCGCCTCTCACGCCATCATTTCCCTCATTATGTGAATCAGCTCAGATGCGAATCAGCGAAAACGCGGGAACATACGAGCGCGACAAGGCCATGAGGCGAAAGTGAAGCAGCAGGGAGTAAAATTTCGGTTAAGAATCGGCATATCTACAACGTGCAGTATAGTCACTGGTCCAAGTACAGTAGGACCATAGGTCCGAAGAGCCCTTCGTACTTTAGCTGGCAAGAAGTGAAGCGTTGCGTGAAGACGCACCAGCCCCTCCATCCAAGCCTCCGTCCGAACCTTCATTTGAACCTCCATCCGAACGTCTATCCGAACCTCCATCCACCCCTACATCCTGAGTCGAACCGATCGTCGCCAATCTATTCTGCCGTCTCGAGACGGGCGAACGAATGGTGAGTGAAACGAACCGTCGCTGCTGCGTATTCCGCGCCAGGTGCCGCGGGAGATGCACGCGCTGCTCCGCATCCAGTCACCGCGAACCTCAACCTTCCCCTCACACCCCCCCCCCCCCCCCCCCCCCCCCCCCCCCTCCCTCAACACCCTTCCCGGCATCCCGCGCCCTCCCCCTTCACCATCCCAAGGCGAGCGCCACTAGCGCGCCCCTTACCCCGCGCGTGGCGCGCGAGGTGGCGCGGGAGCTGAAGGCGCTGCAGCAGAGCGCAATGGACGGCATCCGGGTGACTGTCCACGACGACAGCATCGCAACCGTCCATGCTGAGATCGACGGCCCTGGTGAGCCCACGCCGGTTAGCGAGTGAGGCAACAGACTACAGGGCTGCAGCGTATGAAACGACTCTCGTACTTCTCGTAATCCACTCGCGTGCTCCATCCATGGTCTTATGCTTTGCGTATCGCACGTTTTTTTTCTCTCATGTCATCATTTTCGCCTTTCCCCCTTCTTCTTCCATTTTCCCAACCTCCTTCCCCCCCTCTGCCCTCCCGCCACCCGCCACCCGCCATCCTCACCCCCTTTTGGTCGCGCTGCGCCGTGCCGTGGCGGCATGCGCAGAGGGCACGCCGTACGAGGGCGGCGTGTTCCGCATGAAGCTGCTGCTCGGGCGGGACTTCCCCAACGCCGCCCCCAAAGGTGACGCCGCTCCGCTCTCTATCTCTTTCCCTTCCCCTCCTCTGGAACCAACCCCCGCTCTGTTCCGCATGAAGCTGCTGATCGGGCGCGAGAGGTCTGCTCTTTATCTCCTTCGTTCCCGCCAATAGACATCCAATCGCCCTGCCACAACCCACTCTCTTCTCTCCCCTTCCCCCCCCTTTCCCCCCCCCACCCCCCCTCTTTTCTCTGCAGGCTTCTTCCTGACGCGCATCTTCCACCCCAACGTGGCCAAGAACGGCGAGATCTGCGTGAGCGTGCTCAAGAAGGACTGGAAGGCCACCCTCGGACTCAAGCACGTGCTGCTGGTAAGCTGAAATGGTATGATTTTATCTCTAGAGGGACTGGAAAGCCACCCTCGGACGGACTCGAACACGTGCTGCGTTGGTCTAGTTCAATTTGACTTTCCTTTATGAATGTTGCTGCTGGGTTTGGAGCACGGTGCAACAAATGTGGGCTCCACTGATTGGTTGTGCCTGATGCTGCAGTGATCGTATCAGTTTTGAGAATGTTGAAGAGTGCTTCTGACTCGCTTTTTGCGCTCTGCTGATGCCTCAATGCTGCTTCTTGCGAATCCTGTACTTTCAACTGCTTTCCTTCATAACTTTTCTTGCTAGTCCGTTTGGGCCAATGCAGGTGGTGCGCTGCCTGCTGATTGAACCTTATCCCGAGTCTGCTCTTAACGAGGACGCGGGGAAGCTGCTTCTGGAGGACTATGACGCGTATGCACGCCATGCCCGCCTGTTCACATCCATCCATGCCACCCCTGCCGCCTCCTCCGCCCTCACCTCTGCTGGCAAGGCCAAGCAGCAACCTCAGCAGCAGCAAATGCAAGAGAGCCAGCAGAGAGCGTGCATGCAGCCAGCAACAGCAACTGCCTCGCTTGCAGGTTCTGGCTCTGCTGCTGCCACTTTAGCTTCTGCTCCTACCACTCCTTCTGCCGCTCCTACCTCCGCTCCTTCTGCCGCTCCTACTCCCGCTGTAGGTGCGACTGACGCTGACACCGCAGCAATTTCTCGAGCCTCCAGCAGCAGCACCCCATCAGCCCCTCCTCCCATCACTTCTATTGCTGCCTCATCTGTTGATCCTACTACTGGCAAAAACCTGGCGGGCAGTGCTGGTGTTTCACCAGCCCATCACACTCCTCTGGCTACCAATCGGTCACTTGCAAACTCTGACTCTAGACTGCAAGCAAAGGCCGGAAATGGCTCAGTAGCAGCAGCTGTGGGGGAGCCTGTGGCAGCATCGAGCACGGGTGGTGGTGTGGTGAAGGCTAAAGGGAAGGGAGAGAACACGGGCCGGGGTGGGATGGACAAGAAGGCTGATATGAGAAAGAAGAGCCTACGACGACTGTAGTCATGGCTGTGGTGTTTTAATTCCCACATTGTATGTAGTGATTTGCTGTTTATGTCAAGCGTGTGTTTTTAAACTACTAATAATGATTTACTTCAATTCAAGTACTGTAGGGGCAGCCTAGGGGGGGCAGCAGGGTCTACGTCTAGCTAGGTGACTGCGATCAATGAAGGGAACAGCAGCTATAACTGGAGGTGCTGCACGTGCAGCGGCTACCGTTCAAGTAAGCGTCATAATTTTAAGGGATTTTTTTGTATTACATGCCAAGGGTTATTACAGAAGCGAGATAATGTGAAAAAATATATTGTACGTCGTACCACGTTGCTAAGATGTATGACAGATAAATTTTGTGATCTACGCAAGTATGGCAGTGAGATGGACTTTATCTGAAACACACTGTTTATAAAAAACAGTACATGAATCTCTTTATACATAGAATCGTCGGATGTATTGGCAAAAAAAAAAATGGGGAAGTGCATACTGGGTGGACATCATGAAATAAAATGTGTGTTTTTTTTTTTTTTTTTTGTCTGCTGCGTCAAAATGTTTCACAGAAAGCGTCAGACACGTGGCGAAATGTTTTGCCTATATCCACGAAACGTGATACTAAGTTCGTGTCCGTAGGGATGACATGTCAACAAGGGCGTGTCAACCCGAAGCGCTTTCGAGCTAGAGTGTCAAACACTGTAGCTGTAGTGTCAAGTCGAAGCGCATGTGCGAACATCAGCGACGCAATTTCATCGGTTGGAGAACTTGTCATTTGTAGACCTCATAGGCAGTGAACGAATCGAAAGAAAGACGATTGGAGAAGGTGTTTGCTGATTGGGCAGTACCTGGTCGTGAGATATGCAGCTGCGACAATCTTCTCTCGTTTGTAGGTATGATGTGCCAAAACAGAAAGTGCCCGACGATTTGTATTGGCTGGCAACCTGCAAATTCTTGACACTCTGCCAACAATGTTGGCTGAGTGTCAAAATGCCAAATTGACACTGCCCATTTGACATGTCATCCCTACGGACACGACCTAATATGGATGTCGCGTGTGAGAATTCGTGTAAAGTGCCACTCAATGAAAATACTTAAGGGTAGAAAACACGAATTTTCAGTAATACCCACCCAGCATATACTTACCCAAAAAAAAATTAGCAGAGGCGATCAGATCTGTTCAGCGGGATGGTTCATCTTGTCCGTTGGATGAAGATGATATCTAGGGCGTATTGTGGATGACAAATCAGGAACTCCATGCTCCTGAACAATTTCCCCAAATTGTGCCGTCCACAGCCAGCACTTTGGGGCAGCAGCCCCGCTTTATGAGACAGCGCTCTGCAAAACCCCCCATTCGCGCACATTCAGTGGTGTATCAGGCATTTTGGGGGAGCGCATTCACAAAGCCCGCAGACAGCCAAACGGAACCGTTAGGTTCGACGTTTGTGGCGAGACTCACGAGTTTCGCAAAAGTCTGTCCTCCGAGCGGACTACTTAGTACGCAGAAGCAAAACAAGCAAAGCGTCGCCAGTGTCATTTCGCTTGTCGCAGTCGCTTTTCGTCACTTGGCCGTTTGTTGGAACTCATGCGCGCTCGCGGAATTTCGCGGGCGAATCTTTGTAAGCGGTGCTTCCTGTCAAACTCATACACTATAGTCTGTGTAGGCTGTAGTGGGGTAGCTTATATGGGGTACTGTCAAACATATTTATATGGGTTATATTACTGGTAGGCTGTAGTGGGGTAGATTCTGTGGGGTATAACCCCTTAGGGTTTTCCTACTTGTAAAATTTCTCTCGATAGTGAACCTCACCTTGCCTAGCTATCTCAACATGGCATCTAGAGCAATGGTCCTAAGGACCTAAGATTGGGGCCCACCTACTCATGAGTTACTTTCCCTACAGCTATACCTACGTGCCTACCTTGCCTGCTGCCCGCGCGCGCCTCGGCTGCATGCGCGCCTGCATTTTTTTTTTAGCGCGCCCCGCTGCCTTAGCCGCCCGCGTGCTCGCTGCTGTCACGCGCAGCTCGGCGCCGCGCGCAGCCCGCCGCCACGCGCGACCCGCCGCCGCGTGCAGCCAGTAGCCACGCGCAGCCCGCAGCCGCGCGCAGCCCGTCGCCGCGCGCAGCCCGCAGCCGCACGCAGCCCGTCGCCGCGCACAGCCAGCTGCCACGCACAGCCCGCAGCCGCGCGCAGCCCGCTGCCGCGCGCAGCCCGCAGCAGCGCGTGCCCTGCCCTGCCTGTGCGCCACTGCCTCGACCTGAGCGCTTAGCCGCCCGTGAGTCGTGCGCTTGCCTGCCTTACGCGCGGCCTGTCACAGAACTGCGTGCTTCCTTACCTGCTACAGTTGCCTGCTGCCTGAACCTGCAGTCTTTGCCTGCTGCCTGAGCCTGCTGCCTGAGCCTGCTGCCTGAGCCTGCTGCCTGAGCCTGCTGCCTGAGCCTGCTACCTGAGCCTGCTGCCTGAGCCTGCTGCCTGAGCCTGCTACTTTTGCCTGCGCTACAACCATGGCGACCCTTACTGTTCTCGCCTTTGAGCCTGACGGCCGCCCCATCGAGTTTGACACCTGGCTTAGTGACCTGCGCCTTTACCTTATGACTGACGTCGCAGACGGAGTGTCACTGCTAGCCTATGTGACCGGCACTGTCCCTACTCCTGCTGAGACTGCTCCTGCCCCTGAACGAGCACAGTGGGAGCTCCGCGATGCTGTCGCGCGCCTTGTTATTCGCAATCACCTACCGATCTCTGAGCGCGCGCATTTCAACCAGCTTAAGACTGCTAAGACGCTGTATGATGCTGTCGTTGCCCGCTATTCCGCCCCGACCACAGCCACCGTTGGTAGTCTCATCCTGCCTTACCTGTTCCCAGACTTAGCCTCGTTTCACACTGCTGCCGACCTTATCACTCACCTCCGCGCTAGTGACGCCCGCTTTCGAGCCGCTCTTACCAACGAGTTCCTCGCCACGAACACCCCCCCGCTGTACTTCACCCTCTACATCCTCGTCACCCGCCTCCCTGACACTCTTCGCTCTGTCAGGGATTACTTCCTTGCCAAGGATCCTCCAACTATCACTCTGGACGACTTCGAGCAGCAGCTGGTCGCAGCAGAGAAGAACATCCTCGCTGTCGGTGCTGCTCGTGGCACTCCCCGCACTCCCCTCTTTGAGGGGTGCTCCCCCTCCCCTCTTGACCCCTCCTACGCCTCTGCTGCTACTGCTGTCGACTTCCTCGGTGCGGAGAAGGTCGCAGCGGCTTCCGCTCCTGGTGGGAAGCGTGGTGGTGGCAGGGGCGGCAAGGGTGGCAGGGGTGGCGGAGGTGGCGGTGGAGGGAGCGGTGGTGGAGGCGGCGGGGGTGGTGGAGGTGGTGGGGGTGGCCGTGGGGGTGGAGGCGGTGGGTGGGGTGGCGGCAGGACCGGGGGCGGTGGAGGCAACGGCAGCGGTGGTGGGGGAGGAGGCAGCGGCAGTGGCGGTGGAGGTGGGAGTGGGGGTGGATCTGGCCAGAAGGGTGGCCAGCAGCAGCAGCAGCAGCAACAGCCACAGCAGCAGCAGCAGCTTCCTCCCCTCACCTCCCAGCAGCTCAATGACTGGTATGCTGGGCGTGGGGCGTCTCGGGGTTCTGACCGCTGCCCCTATGTCATTCGTACTGGCCCCCGCAAGGGTCGCCCCTGCAACGGTTTTCACACTGAGTATCGTTGTTTTGCTAGGCTTAGTGACGCCTGGCGTACTAAGTATCCTGATGCTACTGAGTTCCCCAACTGGGCAGAGCTGCTTAGGCGTGATGTGCCTATCTTTGATCTGGACTATGATCAGGGTATGTTGACTGTTAGTGCTGAGGGTGACTGCTACTTGTGTGTGCCGCCTGACCCCGGTATAAGGACTGCAGCCCTAGGTGCTAGTGAGTCTGCTCCCCTTGGTACTGAGTCGGCTCAGGCCTTGCACACGTTTACACTTGACTCTGGTGCTTCCCGCTGTTTCTTTCGCGATAGCACCACCGTCACTCCGCTCCCTGCACCTGTCCCTGTCTCCCTGGCTGACCCCTCTGGGGGCCCAGTGCTTGCACGCGGCACGACTGTGCTCCCGTGCCCGGCGGTCCCGTCTGGTGAGCTGTCAGGTCTCCTCGTTCCCTCGTTCTCTACGAACCTGGTGAGCAACGCCGTCCTCCAGGATCACTGGGTTGACACCTGGACTCCTGGAGGGCAGCGTGTGGCGATCTGCACGTGCTCCAAGACTGGCCGCCACCTGGCCACGTTCACTCGTGAGCCGGGGTCCAGTCTGTACACCCTCACCACTGTTTCACGCTCCGCTCCTTTGTCTCCGCAGCTGTACGCGTCTGCTCAGGTAGCTACCCAGTGTGAGTGCCGCCGCCTGTCGCACGACACGCTCCTGTGGCACCACCGCCTTGGTCACCCCTCCCTGCCTCGCCTTCGTAGCATGCACTCTCGCTCTCTGGTCTCTGGGCTTCCCAGGTCTCTGCCTGCCCTCCCTCCCTCGCCTGCGCCGCCCTGCATTCCCTGCGTCGAGGGGCGGCAGCGCGCCGCTCCTCACTCCTCCTCGTTTCCTCCCACAGAGGCTCCCCTGCAGACGCTTCACCTGGACGTGTGGGGCCCAGCCCGCGTCCAGGGACAGGGCCGTGAGCGGTACTTTCTGCTGGTTGTCGACGACTTCACGCGTTACACCACGGTCTTCCCCTTGCGCAGCAAGGGAGACGTCCCTGCTGTTTTGATCCCCTGGATCCGCGCTGTGCGTCTCCAGCTCCGCGAGCGGTTCGAGCGGGACTTTCCTGTCCTGCGTCTGCACTCTGACAGAGGTGGTGAGTTCTCCTCTGACCTCTTGGCAGCCTTCTGTGCGGAGCACGGCATCACCCAGTCGTTCACGCTTCCGGCCTCTCCGCAGCAGAATGGGGTTGCTGAGCGCCGCATTGGCCTGGTCATGGAGGTCGCTCGTACCTCCATGATCCATGCGGCGGCTCCCCATTTTCTGTGGCCGTTCGCGGTCCGGTACGCCGCGCATCAGCTCAACCT